GGTTTGAACACTGCAGCCTGACTATGGCATCCTGCTCTGTGGGCTCTCAGCGGACAGTTCTGGATTAAACTGGCTGCTTGCGCCCCAGTTTGGGATTTGCAGCCAATTTATCTGCAGTTATTGGCCTGTTATGTCTTGTACTTTGAATGAATTTGGGGATATCGCGATCCGGGAATGTTCCGCCCACTTGCCCTTTGCCAATGATGTTTTTCCCCCAGAGTTCCATGGTGACATCACCTTTGACTCCATTGTTTGGGAAACGTAATCAGGTTGAGCCTTCTTGCTCACTGAATCTCCTTCCAAACGCACCCCAGCCACCACCCATCTTGTCCTGTGCCTTACAGTGCTAGCTGCTCTCGTGGAAGATATCTGTCCACTCTGGGGTATCAGGTGTGATGAGGACAGCCATGGAGATTGGAGTGTCAAACACCATTTTGTGACAGTATAACAGTGCTTACTTCAATAGCCAGGGATTTTCAGGCATAATTCATTACTGGGCACAGTTCGATAGTGGATGGATGAAGTGTGTCATAACGTCACAGAGGAGCACATTACTCTCTGACAATTATTCCAATACAGAGATATGCCCCGATCTGGCACTGCAGTAACGGAAGAAAATGCTTGACTGCTGCAAGTCACTTACATTATCATTTGGCAACGTCTTTCTAGCAGAAATTTGTTATCCTGGGGAACACAACTCGGTAAATTCCTCTGATTGTGCTGAATTGATTTTCCTCTTGCGCTCAGCTCAGCTGGACTGCTGCATTAAAGAAACTCAATCCTGCTAGACATCGTGCATGAATACGTACTGTATTCACATTTTTCATGTGTTCAGACCTGAAGGGGATGGGCCCTGTTGATTACAGGTGATTGGATGAATTTCTGTGCACCTGTTTTAAATACAGATTTCATTATTGTATAGTTACTAATCCTACTAGAGCACATAAGCCTAGCTAGGCTGACTTAGATAGATTGATTACACTGTAGCAGCATTGTTTCTCCTACAGCTGTATATGAATCTTCTTTAAGGGTTTGATTGGATTTTAAAACTAGAATGCCCTTTACAAGACCAGGGTTTAATTTTATACTCTTAAATCTGTTTGTGTAGTTTAAAACCAAAAAGAGAAGTCTGTGTTCATATCCTCAGTAGAAACTAATGGTTAAAGGCCGGTACAGCATGTCGTCTAGTTGCATTTTCACAGGTCAGTAATGCTTGGCCTGAGACCGACTGCTCCACGCTGGCACCCCTGTGGCGCACATGTCCAGCTGGGCTTGTGTCTCTCTGACTTCCTGTCTTTGTCCAGTCGCTTGGGGGGGACATATGGGACTGAAGACGGCAGCTCCGTAGTGCTGTTCAAGACCACATCAGGGCTCTGTAATATGTATGCAGCGTTTGAAGAATGGTGATCATTTCACTGGGAATGTTTTCAAAAACAGCATATTAAGAATTGTATGGCTTAGGATTGTATTGATTGCAGTTATACCAGAAGAGAGAGAGACTTTTCTAAAGCAAAAAAGAATTTATACAACCGAAATGCTGCCTAAATCTGAGGGAAGTACATTGAGCTGTGAGAGGCCGAGTATTGTGTCAGTGTTGAGGAAGGAGCTCTCTTCGCTGTAGCCATTAAGAAGCAGCATTTTATAAAGAGGTTTTCACAGCCGCTCGTTTATTCCGGTGGAGTGGACTTGTGTTTTGTGGCTCGGCGCAGTGGCTCCCTGCCACTGCCGCAGTGAGTCACGCTGGTCCGTGCGTCTCCCACAGCCCAGGCCATCGAGCAGAGGCTGACGAAGATCGACCACACAGCCATCCACCCACACCTGCTGGATATGAAGATCGGCCAGGGCAAGTACGAGCCGGGCTCCTTCCCCAGGCTGCAGGCGGACGTGCTGTCGACAGGCCCCACCAACAACAAGTGAGTGGAGTCCCCCAAGGCAGCCTGACGTCCTCTGGCCCACCCTGTCCCGCTGCACTTATTTTGAAGATGAAAGTGGTAGCTCGTCTTATGGGAGACACTCGCTGTGCAGCCAGTGACTGTTCCCAGACGGCACGGCGATCCCGTATCGAGCCGGTCCAGATAAAACTGACTCTTCTCTGCGATTGCAATCATCGGCAGGATTCGTCGGCTGGGCCGTGTGAGCCTGCGCCCGGTATTGTGGAGGAGCCACAGGCTGCCCCTCGCTGCGTCTCTAATGCTGCCCTCTCTTGTCCCCTGGCTCAGCCGGTGGACCAGCCGCTCGGCCACAGGCCAGCGCAGGAAGGACCGTCTCAGACAGCACTCGGAGCACCTGGGGCTGGACAACGACCTGAGAGAGGTACGGCACGCCCGGCCCTGCCAGGAGCACCCCCCGGCTCCGGTGCCCAAAGCTCTTTCATTCTGCGGTGTTCTCCATCTCCTGCGGTGTCATGTCCCCTTCGGGAGCATGTTTTTCTCATGCAGTGTGCATCTGTCTCTCCTGTCCTGTTACATGCAGCTGATTTGAATGCAAAAAGGTTTCTGTGTTCCATGCGTTAAGGTTGTGACCCAATCAGTGTGTTTTCTTAATTTGCTCTTATCCAGACATTAGGCAGCCTCTCTGTAAGGGCCTGGTGTAGTGAAGGTAGTGTACGACCACTCCAGACACAGAGCTGATGAGAGAAGGCTCATGAGGAATAACACCCGGGACTTCGATGTGTTGGACGGGGTTGCTGAGTGTTTAAGTGGTGGAAAGGTTTGGCTTCATGCTCCTGGCTGAAGTCCAGCCCCCTGGCTGTAGGATGAACCATGGGGCTACTGTACAGCTGGAGGCTGATGCGAAGGAGAAGCAGGGGGTATTATTCAGGAAGCAGCATCATGAATGATCGCGTCAGGGCAGCTGAGGTGAAAATAGCTCTGATCCCCCCCTGAACTTTCTCTTCAAGCTCTACGAAATGGCAGTGAGGTGACTGGAGTAATTGTGGCCGTGTTGCGCCTGGACTTTTATCTCAAGTCTGTAGGGATCCCCACTAATGACATCCTCAATATTCCCTTTCTGTATAAACGAACTGTTGAGACTGGGACCACTTTCTGCTGGAGAAATGTTTTAAAAATACTGGAATTACACTTGGAATACAGCGTTAAGCTGTTTGGAGCCTCTGGAATTTATGGCTCCAAGGGTTTCATGGTCATAGACTGGTAGCATTTACATCAGAGGTCGTAAAATAAATGTGCCAGGAGATCATTTATTTCATACCTCCACACCATTAGGGCATAAAACGGCAATCCTAACAGTGCTGAAGCATCTACTGGTAAACTTCCAACAAAAGATACTGTAATTTCATCACTCGGATCTTGTGGTAAGTAAAGCAAGAGCACAGGAACATAAGGTGACCAACGAAAGGAGGTCAGTCAGCTTGTCTGCTAGGCTAATAGTAATCACACAGGGACTGACTCCCCCTACCTCTCCACACACAAACCTGTGGAAAGGGACAGTTCGGAGCACAGAAACTCCCGCCTACTCCCATGGGAGGCACTGGGAGTACCCAACCACAATCTACTCAGAAGCACGGAGAACATGCAAACTCCACACAGACCGTGCTTGTAGCTAGCCTCTCCTTGAAAGATCCCAGGATATCAGGCTCCACACCTGGCTAGTTATTTCCAGACGGTTTGAGCACCACTGGTGGGGCACATCAGCAGCCTTCAGTGGAACACAGACCCTTTGAAACCTTCGCTGTTATGACTTTTTGTTAACGCCATTGTCTCGTTTGATTTTGAATGTGCTGTGCCTTCATCTGCATGCCGCTGCTCTTTCTTGGTGTCTCTCTCTCTTCTCTTTTCGACTGCCCATGCACTCTGGTTCTCTGCCGGTCCTGCTCCCCTCCCTCCCTCCAACTCCACACCCACCCCGACCGCAGGCGGAGGGGTGCTCGGGCCTACAGAACTCCATGGCATTCTGGGAGTGGGATCAGGGGGTGCCCCCTCCTATAAGACCTCCCAAAAAGTCCTTGTCTGCCTGCTGCCTGGTATGTGAAGGGTCTGACCCAGCGTCTCGGTAGACTGTGGCCGCCTCTCTGCTGTGTGCCTGTGTGCTAATAGTCTGAGAGAGGTGACCAGCTCCTGTACTGAAGAACTGGCATCTAGCTCAAACAACTGTCACTCTCTAGCCTTCAGTTAAACCTAAACCTCTCCTGATGTTCTTCCTCCGTCACGTCAGTATGTTAAGATCTAGAGCTCTGGTGCAGAAGGGCCAGTCCGTTATCAGGCTTCATTTGGAGTACAGTTTTTAGCAATAGCAGAAAGACATTCAGAGCTCCTCTGAATTATTCCTGATTTTGGATATTTTGTTTAAGCATCTGCTGTCCCCATGTCTGTGATTAATTCTCTAGACAGTTGTCTTTTCCGGTGGCATTCTTTGTGGTTTTTGTTTCAGGGAAGTGCTAAATGATTTCTAGACTTTTTATTTGCTACACCATTGAGAGGCATTAGAAGACTTGTACAGATTTTCTTTTCAGTCAATTTATGAGCTTTGTTTATAGTTGTTTCCCTGCAGCTTAAAAAGTGACGAGAGGCCACTCCTGTCCTGTCAAAGCTAACGACTCTGAAGGGGTGGCCACGTGCTCTTAGTACAGCAGGGCTGTTCTCTCTGAGCATGTTGCCTGTGTCTGTGCATCTGCTCTTTAAACTGTTAGTGATGACACACCTGCTTCAAAACAAGTGTCATCCCCTCTGGGAAAATTTCACTTTATTTTGGGGTGACATCTTAATACGGTTTGGTTCCGTAGGTTTCAGGAAGTTACTAAGGACAACCTCATGCATTCAATAATGTGAATTGCAGTTTGAACAGACTTTTGAAATAAAATTGCCCTTAAAACAATCCTGTAACAGGCGTCATCATGGCAGAATACAGAAAGCAGAGTGTTTTTTTAAAAAAGATTCCAGCAGGACCAGCAACCTTATCAAAAAGATCAACTCATTTTGATCTGTCTAAGATGATTGGAGTTAATTGAAGTTGGAAGTTTGTTCAGAGAGTCCTTCTGTTCTCTGTTCATTGGCTTCTCCTTGTTGCAGGCAGTCGGTCTAACGGTGGTAAAGCTGGTCTCTCAGTGGAGGGACAGACATTAGAAATGTATAGAACCCTGAAGCAGTGAAGGGGAAAAGGAGCTTCTGTTCAAGGAGTATGCCTAGCCAGGAATTGAACCCCTTGGTGTGTGTTGAAGGAATCGATAGCAATGTAGCATCCAGAATAAAGAATAAAAGAATCGTCTTTGTCTCGGTGATTTGATATGGAAAGGGTGCAGTGCCTTCCAGCAGCAAAATCAAAACTTGTTTTTGCTTCACGGTTAAGCAGTTTGTATTTGTGATCGTGAGATTCAGATGAATGACGTGTATTTTATTTTTGGTTTATCCCATATAGTTGATCAAAAACAGGCTTTGTGTTTAACCCAGTCTTTTCTAGTGGCCGTAAGTCCTGGGTCACATTCACCTGAAGTCAATTTCAGAGTGTAAAAGTCAGTATTTGGTTGCATATGCCATTGTGCAATAACTGCATGAAGACTGCAACCCCTTCAGGTCGTCTGACTCTGTATGGTCGTATGAGGTGCCTGATCTCCTGATGAGCACCTTGTTTGTCTATTTGTTCTGTGCCTGTGTTTCTGATCACTGTCATGCTGCATGGTGAAGCACCACCTAACTAAGATGGAAGC